ATTCTCTTTGATTTTTTGCTTGCTCCTTTCCTATCTATGCGGTGTGTTAGGGTACGAAGTGTATGTATATGGTGCAGATGTGGGTGCGAGATCTTGTTGTTGCTCATATGTACATGTGATATTCGAGTGTCAGTTTAGGTGATCGGATGGCTCACACACCCAAAACTACAGATTCCATTTACTATATATAATCAATATCTCGATAATGCTGAAAAGGTTGCAATTTACTCATAGTGTATATTCCACAAGCATTGAGATTGAACAAAAAATTGTTCATATGTAAAGAAAGGGTAATGTTTATTCAAGTGTATCTATATAAGCTGGAAGAAGTTCGGACGATACTTTGATTGAAATGATTTTTTTATCTGATGACATTATCTCTTTAAATAATAGTCACAGAAACCAAAGAAATTTAATAATTAAAACCTCGAATTTGAAAAGTTTTTTTTTAAAGAAATTTTAATCAATGCTGAATTCCTCGTATGTTTGACGTCATGAAATTATACACAATAATACGATGTGTCCAGATTTCGTCTATAACATATTATTTTACAGCTATTCAAGTAATATTAATTCATATGTCAAATTTATGAAATAAATAAATCATAAGGAAATTAAATATTTTTTTGGGAAAAAATACACTCTCTTCCATGACGATCAAAATTCAAAATATTGAACAATAATTCCATTGGAAACTATTAATGAATTATTTGCTACAAGAGATCTACCTGAAAATTGAAATTCAAAGTTTGCAGATGTATGGTTTACCAAAAATATATGGAGATTATATTTAAAAAAATGTACAAGAAGAATTGTCAAATTTCAAACAAGTAAAAAATAGATTGAAAAAACGAATAAAAAAAACAACTTGTAATGATTGTAAAAAGAATTTCTGACAAATTTTTTCATACACTAGACACACTAATGATCAATGCTGGAAAACAAATGTATGATACTTGAATAAGATATTTTTGTTATTGCTAAAATAATACGTGTTCCTGTAAAATAAAACTGTTGATTTCGACTGTTGAGAAGCATAATGATCAATTTTAAGATTTTAATTATCATGTTTCTTTTATTTACATCCCTGCTATTTAAAATGATCATATCATAGAATAATATGTCGGTTAAAATGTCGTATGAAATATACGAAATTTATATATATGATTAGATGGATTCATTCTCTATATATATGAATATTTGCTAGGTAAACAAGAAAATAATTGCACAACCAACTTTGATTAAAAAAAACACATGTTTTATAATAAAATAAAAGAATTTTTAATTAGGTTAAAATTTGAAGAGAAACCATGTTGCTACGACACACTTTCATCATAAAAACAATGCACATATTTCCATAGACAACTTACGAAAATAAAAGATTTATTTGAAAAGGATACATTATTCCTTCAATAATTGACATGTTCCTCAATATAAAAACTGAAAATGTTTTAAATTAATTAGCATTTAGTCAATTAACCATCTAAAAGAATAAAATTAGCAGTAATAACAGATTTTCATATTCTATGATTTATTTCTTTAAGACTTGAATTGTTGAAAAAAAGTTCGAGTTCTTTAAGATGATTAACATTTTCAACAAGCCATCTTAACTATATTCTAAATGGTTATAGACGAAGTTGCTCAATGTAAAACTTTTCATATGTGATAATTTTGTCGTAGCAAAATAGTTACTACCTAAAAACTGCAACTTTCTTCGACAATTAAAATAGAAATAGAATAATTGAAATGTTTATTGGAAACTTTTACGACAGTACAGAAATAATATTGAAAAACTTTAACACAGAATAATTTATTGTTTCACGTGTTTGATCAGATAAACAAAAAACATTTTAATAATGAAGAAAAAAACGGAGAAAAATATATATAGGAAGACAGAAAAAAAAGAAAAGAATTGCTATACTTGCCTTAAAAGAAACAAAAAAAAACACGACGACAACTTTAGAAATAATCATATCAATTGAAAAGACTTACGTTGCATCAAGTGTAATGTTTAATAATAAATAAATACGAATATGAAGTAATCGTCAAGTTTTTATTGGGTCTTTACGACACGGTTAAAAACTTACCAGTCCACTATTCACTAATGTTGCTGCGGCATTAATTGTATTAGCTGTATAAGGCGTATCTTTTGATTTTATTCTAGTTATGCTTGACTGCTGAGTGTTGTTAACATTAAGAATTTCTTGGAGTGTGAATTCATCTTATCTTGGTCCATACTCACACCCACTTGATCCTATCGACATATTTGAAATACATAGAGAAAAAGAAAAAAGTCATTTGTAAGCAATGAATTGTAAAAATAGCACAAGTGACTTAGATCGATCAAAAATATTTTACATTGAGTTTTTCAAGTAAAAAAAAGCAACCATGCTCAAATCCTTACAGTTTGTCATAATTGTTTCACATCGATAAAAATGAGCTATTCCTGATTCGTCCCCTTTTTAATTATTCCGAATTCGGACCCCAAAATTTCGTTCCGGATTCGCCCCCAATGAAAAACCACTCGCTATTTATTTTTTACCTAATTCATTCTCACTTTATTTAACAGTCGAATTATCATGCTTATGTCTGATTATATTAGGGTGGATGTGGACGTGGGTGATTGTAGAAGAATAATCTACACCCACACTCACATTCTTACTCTCCATTCGTTTTTTCTTGTCATCAACCAGGTAGATTGCTCAATGAATTTGATCGAAAATAGACAGTTGCGCATCCGAACTTTCATGCAAGAAATTTTATTGAATAAAATTAATACATTTAGCATGAAGAAAAGAAATTATGACATATTTGATAAGCAGAAATCTGCTTGCTGAATGAGGTGAGACTCAAAAGCAGATACTCAATACGCAACAAAACAATAAGTGCAAGACTCTGTTATGGCAAACAATAAGACTCAGTCAGCTATAAGTAAGATTATGTGCGAAGGATCAAACAATTCTAGTATTCAGTGCTTTCTGCCATTTACTCCACTCATTTTTAGTCATATTTCGCACTATTCTTTGCACGAGACAGATAAGGTAGCAACTTTTCAGGCATAGACTCCTTATTCATCTATAATCATCGTAATTATGTGCTACATACTGAAGAGAATGATGTGTAAGATCAAAGAAAAGAAAACTATACTGCAGGAAGCTGACAGAAAAAACACTTACACAGCTACTTCGTTCCTTAAAAAATAAACCAAACAACAGTATCATAAGATTCCCCAATCATCACTAATCGAGCAATGGTAGTATAACATGTAACTAATTGACCTGTACATGAATGATTCACCAAAATAACAATAATTTACTGCGCTATATATTATAAAAACAAACTTGACCAAAGCATTGCTTGAAACAGTTTCGTAACATCGTACATATTACACTAGTCATAGTAAGTTTCGCTACCAGATAAAAGGTACCTAAACTTCAATCATTTGGGTTTATAATTTCACCAGTAATAGAACTTATTGAACCCTAATCACAATCATCAACCCAACCTCAATCAACCGCAGCGCACTAGAATTATGGCTCTAATACGAGGTTTCCATTGTGATGACCATATCTTGCTCATTGTCGGATATTGATTTTCGCGCAGTCCTATATGCAAATGCGCAATGTTGAAGCTATTTCTGGACATAATTTGATAAGAAATTACGTTGAAACTATAGAGTTTTGATTTTTACGCTGAAAACTTTCTCCAGCCTTCAGTCTAATGTTGATAATCTGGGCTAACCTCAATTAGTTTGTTTGATAAAAGTCATGCTTCTGCAGAAAAGAATATAATCTCTTCGTAAGATATACCAATCAATTCTATGTCACATTTTCTACAGATTCGAATCTGCATCATTTGTATTTATCGTGGAATATTCAGAAATATTTGAGTAGATGAAAGGATTGGATCTGCTTTGAAAATTGATTTAATTTTAAAAATAGGTAAACAGTGCCTTGTGTCAGAAAGATTGATAGTTATATTTCGAATGTGAAAAATCAACAATTTTTTCTTTCGATAGTTTTCTGTCAACAAAAACATAAACAACTCGGCTTTTCGTATTCATACTTTTGACATATGAAAAATTGTTTTCATCATCTCAATAGAATTTGTCAATGCCAAGTCAGGTACTGATGGAAGAATCTTTCATCACGGTTTTTTCTCATCCTTCACTGACAATCGAATTATCTTTTTCTTTTGTAATGTTGCCTTTCTCAAGTCAACCAATTGATTATTACGAAGTATTTTCATATCAACACATAATTAAACCTACATACTTCAACTAGTATATCTACAAGAAACAAATTATGTCCTTATATTTTATTCATTCCTGATAGATTACACTTAATAAAAAAAAATATACTATGCAATAGTCCATAATGTTTTTTATATGACCTACAGATAACTTGACAAATGAATCATTGTGGCGCAATTTTTAAAAATAGTGAAATCTATATAGCTGATTTTTTTTATCAAAAAATATTGTGAAATAATTCACATGACTTCAGCTAATTTAGCTGAAGATCATTTATAAAATCCCTCTCTTGTTTACAGCACAATTTCAAGTATTATTTCTTAGACAGAAGCTATTTATCTTTTCCTTTATCTGCATATGAAAAATGAGCTAGACATTGCTCGATTAGCCAAGTAATATGTTGTGTTATTTTCAGAATTATCTCAAAGCTTTCGAGCATCCTAAAGAAAATAAATTTGGTGTTACAAAGACAGATTTCTCTATATTGTTAAGACTTTCTCCAAAATTTATGTAAGTGGTATATTAAGTAACGGTAATTAAGCTATAATCGATTGCTCTGTTTTTGACTAGGGGTGGGAAGTTACCATTCCCAGACCGTTACCCGGGAATGGTAACGGTAACTTCCCACCCCTAATTTCTATCTGATGTGTTAAGTCCATCTTACTTAATTTTGGCTTCTATCGATCGAGTTTTAATCACTTCACCAAATCCTCGCACACGGCGACGTAGTACCCATCGTCTTGCTTACATGCGTATTATTGGTGTCACACTATTTTGGATATTATTTCATTGCTATGCCTTACTTGCAGCGAATATTGTACAATTGGCACCAAATTATTTTACTTGCTATATTGAACCAGGAATATATCTAACATTCATAAGTTATTATACATTAATAGTCAAAGCATCTATTCTACCTTTGCTTATGACAATTTTTGGACTATGGACTATAAAGAATGTTCGTAGTTTTCGTGGTGCAATAGTGGTACCAAATATATCAATAACTGGACCAACAGGAGTTGGTTCAAATTCTGCACATGCCAAAGATCGTCAATTTTTTTCGAATTCTTCTCATCGATATTAGTATACATGTTATTTTTAGCTCTATGCTAATAGGTTTTCTCATATACCAGCAAACCACTCGGTACGATATAAAGAGCGCTGCTCGAAGTCAGCTAGATTTCTTTCTTCAAAATGTAGCTGTCTATAGTTATTATATTCCATTTTGTGTTACTTGCTATACAAATTTATTGGTGTCAAAAGCATTTCGAAATGAAGCGAAAAATATATTTGTATGCCAATAACCAATCTTTTTAAGCTTGAATTAAAAAAATAATTAATATTACAATTTGTTGTAGTTTTATGTTGTCAAGAGATCTCTTAACTCAATGTTATATTGTCGAATTTTTTTCGTTGCAATTGATGTCTTATATGTGGATATGTTGTAACCGTTTCTAATCATTTATCTATTTTAACCATAAATTTTTGTGTTTGTCTGAACAATTGTAATCAAAATTATATGGTCATTAGCTATTTTCGATAATACTTAAGATAATCCAAAAGTAGTGGCGAATGTATTTTGATTCCTTATACAAAGCTTTACAAAAACTTTCTCTCTCTCTCTCTCTAGTCTGATAGTAAAAACAATGTTCCATATTTCTGTGATATTTGATCACTCTTCAGCTAATATTATAATATTAAATTTTCTGTTTTGTTATGGTATATACTAGTTATATATACAAGACTTTCATGCATTTTTTAAAACTCTTAACACAAGAATTATCCAACTCTTTGATTATGTTACAAGTCTATTTAATTATAACAAATTAAATGATCTGTAAAAAAAAATATTTTTCAATTTTCATTTAATGAAATATTTCATCAATACAAATCTTTATTCCAGATCAAAGATGTAATGCTCATAAAAGAAAAATATTGTGTGAGTATCGAACTTAAAAGAGTATACATTAATAGTTTCCGGAGAACATCAATATTTTAATCAAAAAAACTATACCGTTAAGGAAAAATCCATTCTAAGGATTACTTAGAGTGAAAATGTTGCATATCACATGGCTCTCATATGATAGATGTCGAGGTGAGTAATTATTTTCTAGTGACAGATACGTATAACCTTGTTCTTTATAGTTCTAATTAGGACTATGTCTTATTTGGATATCTGTCTGCATGTATATAGCACGACAAAATCATTTCAGTATGATTATTTAATAGTGCGTTGTGGTGTGTGTAATAAATATTATCATGAGAAATTCATCTAACGTAAGAATATAGTCTTACGACTTTATTACAGCGTTTTCACTCTAAATAATCCTTAAAATGAATTTTTCTTTAACAGCATAGGTTTTTTATTAAAATACTGATGTTCTTTGAAAACTATCAATGCATATTCATTTAAATCCAATATTCACACAATATTATCCTTTTATGAGCATTACAGAAGAAATTCAAGTAGATAGAAATTGGTTGTATATCTCAATCGATATATCTATACAAAACTCACACAATCATACTAGATATTATCATTATGCTAATACTAATTCAACACTAATGCCAAGATATCAAATTATTTTATTAACATCAATATACGATCTGGGTGTGGGTGTATAGAAAAAGAAGACGCTTACACCCACGTGCTATTTAGAATTTATTTTCTTTGACAATCTTCTTCATCTCGAAAATACATTTCAATCGAATTTCTTTTTTTCAAAGATTTAACTTAAATTCATGTTTCCTTTTGTTTTCCAAATGATTTTTTTAAAAATTAGTTTGAATTTGAATTTTGTTAGTTAATTTTAAAATTTTTCTTTCTCGAATTATTGATTTGATAGACTTATTTTGTATGAATTTATTTTCTTTAATATTTTCATATGATTGAATGTTAATGTCTGTTTGATCGATCTATACATCAAAGAATAATCAACACACAGAATGTTAACAACATGATGATTTTTTATTTTTCGTCGATGATTGTGGACATGCGGTCACTGTAAATTTTGAATTTTGACTAGTTGCTTGTTCTTTACTTTCTAGTTGATTTTCTTTAAGATTTTGAAGTAATGATTGATTTTGTAAAATGCATAAAATTAAATGTTGAAACATAGATTGTATTCTGTCTCCACGCCAAGCTGATATATTAAATATTGACATTTGATAATGTGAAGCAAATGTATCAGCTCGTTTAAAGAATTTTTCACGATAGGATGAATCATAATCTTTTTCAAATAAATCAATTTTATTACACGCAAGTACACATTCAACATAATTAAATGATGATTTTTCTCGAAGTTTTTTATACCAATAATTTTCAAGATGTTCAAATGTATTTATATCAGTTGTATCAGCCATAAATATGGCACCATGACATTGTCGAAAATGTCGATCAGAAACAGCTTCGAATCGATCACTACCTGGACAATCGTTGATTTGAATTATAATAACATATTTATCTTCGAATAATAAATCCAAATAGAAAAAGAAAACATCTATTCCTAATGTAGTTTTATGTATACGATTTATTTGAGGTTGACCATATTCAACATTTGAAGCAAAACATGATTTACCAACATTTACTGGACCCAAAAGAGATATGATTATTTTTAATTTCGGATTATTTTTCCATTGATCATTATGTGGACGACCACGATGAAGAGTAAAACAACGAAAATTTGATATTGAATTCATTTCACTCTGTTGGCGACGAAATTCTTCAATTATCGATTTAAGATTATAATTAATTACAAATGTTTGACTTGTTAATTGTTTATTTGTCAATGGAGATGTATTATGATCTTTGAACCAACATTCCAATGCAAATTTTTCATAAGAATGTCCCTTAAAATAAAAAAATAATCCTAATTCAACTAAGACTCATCGATATTGTTTAGCATTTCAATCGAGAGAGAAACAGCAAAGACTTCCGGATTGAAATCTTAACTCTGTTGTTTTTTCTCTCGATTTCTATTTAAAGAAAAAAGACGAATTTTATTCTTTGAATTGGGAAGGAATTCGAAACATAAGAAAAAATTCGACTTACATCTTCAACTAATAGAACAGGATTTTGCATAATATCTTGTGTTATAGGACAAATGAAGTTCAAAGGTATTGAAGAGGTATTTGCCATTATCAATAAGAATGTATCGAGTAGTTTATTAGTCAAAGTCTATTGGTAAGAGAAAATTAAAACATGAAGAATTTGAAATGAAAATTATTTTTAAGTGAAACTGGAATTCATCAGAAAAAAGAATAGTCGAGAACAACGGCAATTTCCAACAGAAAATCAATGAATCATCAGAATTTTTTCTCTTTTAAACTATTGAAATAACATCACCTTCTTTTTTTTGTCAGATGACTCTGTCAACAATAAAAATAAGCTTACATGTGTTTTTTTATGTTCTTTAATAAATATTTTTTTCTTGATAACAACCGTCAACACGGTTAAAGTCTTATGAATGATTCTGTTTCTATGACAAATACACAATTTTATCATTTATATTGAATATGTTCATTAACAATATAAGAAATATCTTAGTAAAAAAAAAATGTCTCTGTAAAGTAGTCATACATTGATATTGAAATCAATTCATGAATGATGCATTTTTTTTTCTTTCTCTTTCTAACTATCGATTTTAGTTAGGATTTTAATCATTTAAAAATACATTTTTGTCGTTATCTCAACAAGAGTATCAATTAAAATAACAATATAATATGATAGTTGAAACAAGGTAGATTTTTAAGTTTTCTATATGAGTTCTTTTTCCTAGGTGAAATGTAAACAACTTAAATTCTTCGTGGCGACAGACACATCGTCAAATTGAGAAAATTTTTCTTTTTTTTTCTAACAAAAATCATTCTTTTTATTAGGAAAAAAAGAACGTGGACCCTTCATTTTTAAATAACTTTCTATGCACCTTTCTACCGCTCAGAAAATTTACCATGCACGCTCACTCTCCCACTTTTGTTTTCTTTGTTACATCTCTCCGTAAATAAAAAAAAACAAAAGATAAATATTTTTATTGTCTGAATAAATGAATTTCTCACTGATAGATATTTATATGTAGCAATTAAAGTTGAAATTTAGATAATAAAATCGAATAGGATGACAATAACGAACTGATCTTATATATTATTATTAAGTTATGTTTAACTTTAATGAAAGTCTAGTTAGATGCTGTAAGACGAAAAAAAAAGAAAGGATCTTTAAGCTTATGTTTATGTGAATAGAATTTTTCATCAATGTCTTCGAATTCAATCCAACATATAGGTGATATTTAAACTATGAATATATTATGTTGTTAACTTTCATTGATTTATGTTTTAATCAAAAATAGTGAAGGACTCTTTTAGCTTATGTATCCTCTATAATAAAATAATAAACATGTTCTCTTAGAATTTAATTCTCTAGAAGAAAAAATATTGAAATTCAAATATATTGTATTTCATAGCCTTTAAAATAAATTTTTGAAATAGATAACTGGAAAATTTTACGCAAAAATCCTAAATAACACTCTGTGATCAGGTGTACTTTGTCGGGTTTATTATTGTTTCAATAGAAATAAGAGAATTTTTTTACATATCATGGAATATCAACAGAATAAAATTCAATTGTTTAAAACATGTTCTTTCTTCTTTGTGAATTGATTTTTGTTTATAAATCATTTGAGTGAAACCTTTCGATTCCTCTCTTTTTTTTATCGAAGTATGTATATTTGTAACATTGTAATATGAAAATGTTCGTGGTTATGCTGAATCAGCAGTAGTACTTATTCTATTTTCCCTAGACTGTAAGGATAGGGTCTAGAAACGGGAATTGATCTGTTTGCATGCATATCGTTTTTGTCAGTAACATGGCACAAATGACTATTTTTTTGGTACAAACGACCACGTAACTATGGTACAAATGACCATGTAACTATGGCACAAATGACCATGTAACAATGGCACAGGTGATCATTTTTTTGGTACAAACGACCATTTTTTTTTGGCACAAATGACCGTGTAACTATGGCACAAATGATCATATTTTGGCACAAACGACCATTTTTTTGGTACAAATGACCATGTAATTATGGCATAAATGACCATTTCGGTAAGTATGGTACAAAAGACTATATGGTACCCATATTACAAATCAGCATATGGCGTATAATAAAATTTTGACAAGTGAATTAGAACAAATACGTAATTTTATGACGTATGAAAACGATATTATTTTAAATGTGATTTTTTTTTAGTATAAACAGCGTTAATTTTATTAGCGCTTTTTTGTACTCAGAAGAATTTTAGTATTAACTTTTTCGTCTTAATCTTATAACTTTCTAACACATATGTGTCATTATGGCGTCAGCCTAGGACCAGGTGAATCGACTGTCGATGAACGTTACTTGTCTGACTGATGAGTACTATTTTGCCACATAATCTCTGTTTTTAAGTATCTTTAATGGTCATTCACGACTCGATCATCTCACACTCAACTTCAAGATTCTTCATCATTGTCTTTTTTTTTACAGAAGAAATTTATTGTTAGGATAGACAGAAAAAGCTCTCTGCTACATCGTCTTCATCAGAGTAACTTGTAAACTTCAATCTCACTTGCTATGAAGTTGACATGGCCTCTGAATGTGGCAACGACTTTACCAGTGGCCTCCATATACGTATATCTAAAGCTTGTGGAATCACTTGTCTCACTGTTTTATCGGGTACACGAATGTCATGACCACCACCGAATGTCGAACCGTAGCCTGTTGTGCTGTAGATGGCATACTGTTCATAGTCACCTTTGATTAAATATCGTGTAGATAAGATAAAATTTGGATTTATTAAGCTGAATATAAAGGTCCTGAGATCATTGTTATAAGTATTTGATGAGTTCCAGGCAACATGAGCATAATCGCCGAAAAGGTAGTCTGTTTTTGATTGGATAATAGTAACTATTTGTACTTGTCTGTCGCAGTTACGATGAAAATTTATAGCTCTGAACCCATTCCGTGTGGTCTTATAGATCAGCTTTCATGTAGAATTTACTATTCGTGTAAATTTATTTTATGCTTGCTTAATGTTGAAGAGCAAGAATATCGCCACCTTCGAAAAAGTAAAGAATGTCTTTTTTTTCGTATTTTTTCAATATTCAATTCTAATAGAGAACAATAGCCCCATATTTGAAGCGTCGTCTATATTGAATGAACAAAAATTGAAACTTGTTTCATTTTATCAGTACACTTTTGAATTAGGCATCGTAAATGAAATATGTTAGAAGAATGTTCCTGTATTGATTCACAGCTTCAAAACATACTAACGTAAGTCTACCTTTAACGCGTCTAGGAGAGTCTAATAGACGCCAGATACTTTTAGTTCTATTTTCTACTGATGAGTTCAAATAAAACTACAGCAATATATGTGAAAGAAGGCAGCGAATTATGACATATCTCGGACTTTATGCTGCACATGAAATGCATCCCCAGTGGAAATCCGAATAGTTTTCTCCCCGGTTCTGTAGCAACTCCAAGCAGGCTCCTATCAGGAATCTTTGATTTTTCCTAAGGAAACATCTCAGTTCTGTTAAAAACGTACAACTTGAAAGTATTCAAGATCTTGTCAAGATTTCAGACAGACTCTATCACGATTCTCAATGATTTTCATTGCTTTTGCATTAGAAACTGTTACAGGAAGCTCATGAATTCTGAATAAAACGTGTAATGAGCCGTTCAAGATCTGGCCAAGATTTGAGATATGATTGGATCGAGACCTTAAATAATTGTTCACTATATCTGGATTCGAACTCACGTCAGTCAGAATCTCAATCATTCATGTTGAAAAGATTTTCAATAATGGACAAGATTATTCAGTCAGAAACCAAAGCACTTGGTCAAGTTTCTTGAAAGAAACGTAACACGATCATGTCAAGATTTTATTGAGATCATAGCAAGATCGTGGCAGGGTCTAAATGGCAGCCCTAAGCGAACTTTTTTTTTCATGCTCTTGACCTACACAGACCTCAAGATTTGTCCATAGTCCATAACTTTGTTGCTCAAGACAAGCGCTTGAATCTTTGCATGAGTTAGAAGAAACTCATGTGCTCAACCCAAGAAAATGCAACTATGATTTTTTATTAAAAGTTGAGTTATTTCGAACGTAAAAGTGAAAAAAAACTAAAAAAGTTTCCTAACAAAAGAAACGCTTGGATAAGAATTCAAGCGCACGCGTAAGAATATCAAGCGATAGAACAAGAAGGTCAAGAGCTTGAGCTCATCGAAAGGTCTCAAGTCTTGCCCCAAGATTTGTCCATAGCGCATGATTTTATTGATCACGGTTCTCAAGTGTCTCTTGCGCAAACCAAAAGAAGTTCGTCTAAGGTGATTAGAGAAAAGAATCTCCGAAAAAACTTCCACTTCATTCCATTTCATATTGCAACATGATGTCTCACTCTGCTTAAAAGGCAACTATGACATGCTGAATTCTCATTGATCTACGACTTCAATACAGATATCGACTTTATTCTGCTCTAGACGATATAATTCATAAATCAACACGCTACTCAATAATTTCGCTATCCCATTGAATACCATTATGGTTTCGCGCATACATAGATGAATAGTAGCAACTGTCAAAGAAATCGGGTCATCTCTTTCATATACCTATCTGTACTTTTTCACACAGACAGTCATCACGCCATATCTCCAAGTCAATCAAATCGAAGACAAAGGAGCACAACGTTTGGCGGATGTATGACGAAATAGTTGGGTCGCAATCATTCAGTGGTGTATTTATTGAGATGATATGTTGTTTGAGTACTGGTTTACGAAGTAGTATGAGAGTTTAACTGTTTGGTTTTATACTGTAATGGTGTTTGAAGGAGTGAGTTTCGTAGTGGCCGTTCGCGTATGAGCGACTTTATTAGCAGAAACCGGATTGATTTCGCTTACATGTATTGTGGGCTTTCGGAGAAGGTGAATTGAAATAGATGTGTCGGTTTAAAGGGTGATTTATGTTGTGCAAAAGGGAGTAGTATGTTTGAATGAAATTTGAAGTAGATTAGTGACGGTGGGCAGATTTTGGAATGCAACTGTA